CATGCCGCTCGGCAGCGGGTTCGCGGAGTTCTGGTACACCGCAACGTCCTCCGCCGAGCAGTCGTCCGGCCCCATCCGCGCCGTCGAGTAACGCCGTTCAGGGCCGCGCGATGGCTGCTCGCCTGATGATGATCAGCACACAGGTACGCGCGTTAAGTCAGTATTATGTTGGAACGGCAAGAAATTTTGGGTTTGCTAGCTAGCTAGTATATGATGAGAGTAATCAATCTGGGATCTTACTACTGATGTTGAGCAGCTTGCGCGCCTGCAGCACGGAAGAAGATGGGTCACCGGAAGCGGCAGCAGCTGGCGGGGAATTATGGGCATGCAGTTGTATCGAGAGTGGATTATACGGGCAGGATGAAAGAAAGAGTGAGCATAGAGTTAGTATAATTTGCAGTTATATAACTCTGGATTGTAATGAACAAACACATTTCAGTATAACATCGACATGCAGTAGGTAGAAAGCTAGGATACCTTCACAGGTTAGGAGCAGCGCCAAGCTGAGCACTACTGCTAAAGGTGAAGCTTTCAGAAACAACCCCATATAGCCTGTCTTGAACGCACTACCGGCCGGCCGTGATCTCACCTCAGCTTGTTTCAGATCTTCCGTAGCTGGGACTGTTGCAGGAACATGCTTCTTCAACCCTTCGCTTACCAGGTCTATTTATATGCTAGCTGCTACCGGTCTCCATTGGAGATTGCAACGCGCGTGCACGCTCGCGTCTTTAAAATTTAATACACCCTAGCTACTCGTCGCTTTGAAAACCGTGGCTTGGAGACTGTAGTAAATGTTGCAGCGCTACCTTCGGGTCAGCCAGTACCCACGCCGGCCTACCTGAGTCTATAACCTGGAACGAGGGTGGTCGAATCTTTTCATCTCAAATGTCCTGTTGATTTGATCATATGTCCTGTTGAATTTCGGTGCCCGGCGGCGCAGAGATAAAAGTTTTCCTTCTCTCACCTTATAATTAGTTTACCAAGTCAGCAAACAGTGTATATATATATGCGGTATAGAGTTTAATGCTTATGAAAAAAATGCATTGAGACTAGCTTTTTAGTATTACTCATTTGGTCTCAACGGTACTATGTTTCAAAATATATGTCGTTTTAGTTTTTTCGACCCATGTAGCATCTAGTAGTTGTTTTGGCCTAATAAGTTCAAAAATAAAGTGGTGTTGTGAGAATAGTCCCATATTGTTTGTGTATTACTGGGAGAAGAGGAATATGTATTAGAAAAATAATAATAACAATTAATTTTAAAAAAAACTGTTGAAGTCTAAAATAACAAGCAAATTGGAACAGAGGTAGGTACCTACTAACTTCAGTTTTATTTGACTTAGACTAACTGGGCAAATATATTAGAAAGCAGATACAAGTGTCATCATTGCAGATTTTTGTTGCTAGATGCAACAACCAACATGCTGATACTAGTGAAAGCAACATCTGCATCAAAACAATGCATATAACTATATTTGTTAAAGTAGACAAAAACTATATTTTATTTAACTTAAGACTAACTCGGCAAATACGTTAGAAAGCGGATAAGTGTGTCATCATTGCAGATTTTTGTTGCTCGATGCAACAACCAACATGCTGATGATTCTAATGAAAACAATATCTGTATCAAAACCATGCATATAACTATATTTGTTAAAGTAGACAAAAATGACATTTTATTTAACTTAGACTAACTCGGTAAATACGTTAGAAAGCGGATAAGAGTGTCATCATTGCAGATTTTGTTGCCGGATGCAACAACCAACATGCTGATTCTAATGAAAGCAGCATCTACATCGATGCATATACTATATTTGTTAAAGTAGACAAAAACGACGTTTTATTTAACTTAGTTTAACTTGGCAAATACGTTAGAAAACGGATACAGAGAGTCATCATTGCAGATTTTTGTTGCTGGATGCAACTACCAACATAATAGGTGCACCAACCAACATGCTGATTCTAATCAAAGCATCATTTGCATTAAAAAGATGTATATAACTATATTTGTTACAGTGGAAAGAAAACTCCATCTCAGGTAGTACATACATACGTAAGCGAGCAAAAAAAAAAAAAAGTGGATGGGTGTCATCATAACTCGGCAAATACGTTAGAAAGTGGATGAGTGTCATCATTGCAGATTTTTGGTGTTGCATACAACAACCAACATGCATGTTGATTCTAATCAAAGCAGCATTTGCATAAAAGAATGAATATAACTATATTTATTGTAGTAGGGAAAAAAACTCCATCTCAGGTCGCACATACATACGTAAAGGAAAAACAAGCAAAAAAAAACAAAACAAAGAAAAAACATCTCTACTACGTCTGAGCAACCTAATTAGAAACCTATTTCTAATCAAAAGATTATACCTCTGATTTCCATTTTATATAAGACGCAGTTTGACTTACATATGGGCTTCGATCTCGGTGATAATTTGATTTAACCGGTAGTACTAGCATCAAAAAGGGAAAAAAAGTAGTACTAGTGTTGTAGCGGGAACGACAGGTGGTGCGTATGTACCCACGGGCTCTCAACAGCTGGCGGCATGGCGCCTCGTGTCCCCAACCTCGACGCTGCTGAATTGTCGAAGAGCGTCCCCAACCGGCTGTCAAGAGGCAGCAGAAATTATTTTTTTATAGTAAACAGTGAGGCATTCTCCTGCCCGTTTCGTCGGGATCCTGTTTTCCTGCGGGAGAATCCCGTTTTTCAATCCCGTTTCCATGCATCCGGGATTCATTCGGCCCAGCAACAGTAGCACATATTGGCCTATTAGTCAAAAGCCCACGGTGGCCTACTACTTTCTCAACCCCAATCGATCCATGCACACGGTCATCGCGCACACACGCCACGCCACCTCTCACCATCCTGCGCCGTCGCTGCTCGCCAGTCCGTCCAAGCTGCGTCGCCGCCGCTGCACTTTCCGCACACCGGCAGAGGGCCGCCACACCTTGCGCACCTCGTTCCACACGTGCGGTGCGCATCTTGCCGTGTGTTATGTGCTGCCTGCTGCGAGACTCCGGCGGTGTGTTGAACAGCCAATCCCGCGATGACTCCGAGTAGCAGTAGCAAATGATCTGCTAAACGCGATGCTGAGGGATTCAAGGCCATGTGCAGTAGAGTATATATAGCAGTAGGCAGTAGCACGCTGGAGAGAGGGTGTTACTACCTCTTATTAAAGAATTAATTTTTAGCATAAATGAAACACCGTCGTGTGATTCATACATCAAAAGATTCTCTGTAAGAGTTAGCATGTTGTCTCTACCTTTGTTCATGTTCGAACAACACAAGCTCGCTGCACCCGAAACACCACCATGTACAGAGCTGAAGAAGATGCAATTAATCGGCAGTTAGGGGACGGTGTGCTCCCATGCATCTTCTACTAGCAGTTAGCCACCGCAACCACCTAGCTAATAACCTAGCTAAGAACTCTTCATTTGGTAGTACTTGAATGATCAGCCTCGAGTTGCTAAATGCGCAGAGAGCTCAGTGATTTCTTGACTGCAAACTTGTTCTGAGCTTTTGTCGCGGAAGAGGCGTTCGCGATCCCTGTATCTTGGAGTCCGGATGTCGGCGACGCCATTCGAAGTCACTGCGGAGTAGTGCAAGTACCGGAGGTGGGGTTGGTCCATCGATATTGGCCGAGTTCAGTTCCCAAGGGGTATCTATGTACGGGGCGCGCGTTCCTGTACAAGTGTACATACAGGGGATGTACCTTCGTACTACCAGCGGAGAGGTGGGTGTTTGACCTTCCTACGAAATGTCAGGGGTACTACTGAGCAACATGCCGCATGGAATTGTTGCTCCTGCCAACTGCATTCTTGCATGCCATCTCTATGTGACTAGCTAGGGTTCTCTGGTTGCGAGTTAAGTATCCTGGTCCTTTGAAAACGGTCATCTTCAAACATCATACAATAGATGGCAGTTGTTTGGATTAAATTATCTCTTTAAAATTTTAGCCATCTCTATTGCTTCTTCAAAGTTGTCATTTTCTTATTCTTAAAATCATAGTAGGTAGGTCGACTATGGGGGATCTCTCGTTTGTCGAGTGCCAAGGACACTCGGCAAAGAGCTCACGACATAATTTAATCGGCAAAGAGCTCTTTGCCGAGTGCTTTTTTTTGGCACTCGGCAAAAAGACTTTGCCGAGTGTCTCTAAACACTCAAGACCTTCGTACTACTAGCGGACAGGTGGGTGTCTGACCTTCCTACCAAGTGTCGGGGTACTACAGAGCAACATGTCGCGTGGAATTGTTGCTCGTGCCAACTGCATTCTTGCACCATCTCTATGTGACTAGTTAGGGTTCTCCAGTTTCGAGTAAGTATCATGGCCCCTTGAAATGATCATCTTCAAACATCGTACAATAGATGGCAGTTGTTTGGATTAAATTGTCCCTTCAAAATTTTAGCCATCTCTATTGTTTCTTCAAAGTTGTCATTTTCTATCCTTAAAATCATAGTAGGTAGGTCGACTATGGGAGATCCCTCATTTGCCGAGTGCTAAAGACACTCGGTAAAGGCTACACTCGGCAAAGAGCCCCGACATAATTTAATCGGCAAAGAGCTCTTTGCCGAGTGCTTTTTTCGGGCACTCGGCAAAGACTTTGCCGAGTGTCTCTAAACACTCGACCTTCGTACTACCAGCGGACAGGTGGGTGTCTGACCTTTCTACAAAGTGTCGGGGTACTACTGAGCAACATGCCGCGTGGAATTGTTACTCCCGCTAACTGCATTCTTGCATGCCATCTTTATGTGACTAGCTAGGGTTCTCCGGTTCCGAGTAAGTACCATGGTCCCTTGAAAACGGTCATCTTCAAACATTCTGAGTAAGCTCTTTGCCGTCTGTTTTTTTTTCGGGCACTCGGCAGAGACACTCGACAAATTTTGAATCAAAAAATCACCCCAAAAAATAGTATTTTTTTTATGAGGGGAGGCCCCCCATTAGCTAGCCACAAGTCTCACAAGTGTTTCGCATTTTTTCCGTAATATTTGCGCGCTATGCGGCCGTCAGGATTCGAACCCGTGATCTCTTCTTCGCGTGAGACTCCCTCTACCACTACACCACAGCTTCCACATGCCCATATCCCATTTTGATTCCCCTCATATTAATCCAAACCGAGTGTCAGTTGCTTATTTGACCCTAAACAAATTCAAATTAAAAAGTTGTCAACTATAAAGTTTCATAACTTTTTCAAGATCTACATCTTTTATTTTGGTCGTTTGTCCATCTGAGGTCGTTTACGAAATTTGAATTTCAAATTTGAACTCTTTCAAACTTAGTTTTCGTTGTCAAGATGATTTCAAATCAAAAGTTGTCAACTACAATGTTTCATTACTTATTATGATCTACAACACTCATTTTGACTGTTTCTCCATCCGAGATCATTTGAAAAATTCAAAATTCAAATTTAGCTGCCATTCAAACCTCTATTTCGCAAGAAAAATTAATTCAAATTAAAAAGTGTTGAACTACAAAGTTTCATAACTTATGAGGATCTACAAATTTTGTTTTGTTCATTTGTACATCTGACACAGTGATAGTCATATTGTTCATAAATCTTATATATCTTCCTTCTAGTTTCATAAAACTTAGAGAGAGGTTGATTTTGTGAACTACTTTGCTATCACTTTGTTTAATCAAGAAATGCTCTGAATAAGAGTTGTAGATCCTGAAAAGTTATATAACTTTGTAGTTCAACACCTTTCAATTGTAATTCGTTTAGGACTTCAAAAAAATAATTTAAATTTTGCTTTGCCGAGTGTTATTTCTTGACACTAAGCAAAAATAGTCTTTGCCGAGTGCTTTTTTTTTGGCACTCGGCAAATAATGCCTTTGACGAGTGCTTTTTTCTTCACTCGACAAAGATTATTTATGCCGAGTGTTTTTTTTTTCGCCGAGTGCCCGATATTCTACACTCGGCAAAGAGCCGATTTCCCGTAGTGGTATAAGATGAATGCATCTGTTGAACAAACTAAATTCATTATGGTTAATTTTTCTTGAGGAACCATGAATCAATATACGTTGGGAAATACATTTAGCAACTGTGCAATAATTTTATAAATGGAAGTAATTCCAGTTACTTGATGATGGGTTTTGCATCCAATGATCTTCTTGCTTGATGTTTCGCATATATCCTCACGGACACTCTAGCAGAGTATACGAAAAGGTACCTTAGCTGGCAATAATAAGGTACCCAAACCCACACCACTAGTGCTGGTCTGGTACACATTCATATCGACGGAGTCTTATCTAGTGGTGGAACTACATACCACATACAAAAATTCTTTTGTTTGAAATTGCAATAAATAGAGAGAACTATGCCGCATGCACTAATTATTTTAGCACTAACATATTGTGTTGTTTCATTTCTTCTAACTCCTATAACATTTTTCTCATGGCACTGGTAGTTTTTCTTGAATTTGAAAAGAGTTTTTAAGAAACATAATGTTCTTTGTGGGACATGTTACAATCTATAGAGTTATGACAAAAATAGAGAATAGGCTGTGTTGGGGACTAGGACCAGCTCCGGGTCACCGCGATTTCTTGAAGCACCGCTATTAAGATGAAGCGGCCAGGGAAACTGCGACGAAGTGCTTCATCTGATGATACCGGGAAATGGCGACGCCCGCTGAGGCATTTGATGACGTCAAGGCATTAGGGTTCTAGTTCCTAGTTGGAAATGACATTTGTACCCCTTATGTATTTCCATTGCTTGGTGACGAATGTTATTGTAATAAAAGCCGAAGGGCATTGTGGGCATATGTAAATGTCCCTTCGGCTCCCCTATAAATACCCCATCACTGGCACCCTATGATGGGATGTATCATGATGTACTGTTGCTCCCGATAGTCATCTTGTTCATGTTCATTGTTCCTTTCCATCTAGAATGTCGCTTGTGTTCGGTGGATTCATTGTAATTGCGATGATTACCTTGAATCCCCGATAGGCCGCAGGGACGAGCAACTAAGAGTGTTGCTCATTTTGGCTACTAGACCAAATCCAGTTTTTTCTTGAATAGAGAAAATGGCTATTAGTTTTTCTTGAATTTGAAAAGAGTTTTGAGAAACATAATGTTCTTTTTGGGACATGATACAAATCCGTTGACGGGCTTATAGTTAATTTTTGGAGTTGAGCCAATTGCGGACCTCTCAATCTCTCTTCCATGACTTAAAAAATGTAGTGGGGGCTCCATGACGGGAATTGATATATTTTTTTCGTATAGCTAGATAAAAACGAGATTCGCGCACCCTACTGAAAAGGGCTGAATCTATCAACCTATTTGGTGCCATCACTTCTTTGTTGCAACGAGAAGGCCCATGTTCGGCCTAGCATAGCCCACTACCCATCTACAGATTGCTTTCTTCTCATTGTTGGAGTCAGTCTAAAGAAGGGATTAATTGAAGATGGCATTGGACCAGTGAGATTAAACGTCATTAGATTAGCAAAATGAATTTGTAAAGATCTTCCATTCCCAGGCAATAACTTTTCGCTTAATTCTATCCCCCCATATTCAAATCAGACCTCTTCTCATCCATGAAAACCTCCTTTTTTTTTCTGTTTTCTCAAGGGTGGAACAAAATCTTTCTACATATGGAAATTGTTCTCCAATCAATGAAAACAAATCTATATATCTTCTTTATAAGTGCAACCCACTAAGGGTCATTGAGTGCTATTTCTCTGCTTCCACGTTGCGCCACGTCATCTCAAATAATTGTGTCCGTTAGATAAAGATTGGATGTCACCGATTAGCTCTATTTCTAAACATTTTTGCTCAGTTGCTACAACTAAAGTCATCTCATGACACAACATTCCTCAACAACGCCTGGAGCATTAAATTCATCAGTTTTCATAGTAAAGGAGACATTAGGAAGGCCATTATCAGTAAACAAGACATTAGGGAGGCCATTCATTTCTTTTCATCGGTTCCACTTCATACTTTGTAACTGCAGTGGGTATCCGAGCAGGCAAGTAATTGTCCTATATATATGCACCATGGACAAGCAGCAGGGCAAGCAGCTCCCTCAGGTATATGATTGCACATCATAGCAATTTCTCACTGTCCACTGCTAACTTAGACAAAGGGACAGTCTGGTGATGTTAGCAGTTCGAGCGTTCGCCGGCAAGTTTGATCACGGACCACATGTGCAGTCATTTTCAGTGCAATGTCTGCTCATGCGTGTTTTCTCGCAGCTTCGCCTCCTGCAATCCATTTGCGTGGTGTGTGATTACTTCAGCGCATGAACATGTCTCTAACACCAAACACGGTATACAAGCCGGTATGCAAACACCGTGCTCTGTCTGCCCCTTCTTCAAGATGTTGGCAAACATAGCTAGAGCTATCTCCTGTCAGATATGTTAAGAATTTTTTCCCCTAATCATGACTCATGAGAAGAGCCTGAAGAGGAGGTCTGAACCTAAAATGAGGTCGAGAAGGTTGAGGAGGCTGTTTCGTGAAAAGTGTGCCCGTCAATGATGTTAATCCTCTATATTTGTCCACTGTAATCTGTAGTCACTATATTTTTTTTACATAATGGGAAAAGACGTCCCGGCCTTGACCTCGTGAAAGGCTACAACCGCCGATTATTACATTAAAAACGCAGTATGAAGAGTGCCATCATGCACACTCAACGTATTACAAGAATCCAAAGAAACGCCAACATAATTTGAATAAACTTATTAATACGCAATTCGATTGCTAAATCTCCATCCATGGTTGGCGAAAATCTGCATGACCGTCGTCTCTAGTGAATGACACGCCTCCCTCATCATGTTGGCATTCTCGTCACACTTCTGTAGATGCACCCAGAACCGGAACCAATGAGTTCCCCTGAAAAGGACCTGCATATATGTTTTCATTGGACATTTATCAAAGACTATATAATTTCTGCTAAACCATAACACCCAACATAGAGCGGAAGCACCAACAAGTAATTGCCTCTTGAGTTTAGATCCTATCCCTCTTAGCCAATCGCCAAACATGTATTGTATACTTGTAGGAGTTTCTAAACCAAAAGTAAAATGCAACGCTCTCCATAAAATTTTAGCAAAATGACAGTAAAAAAAAGGTGCTTGATAGTTTCATTGTGAGAGCAAAAAGCACACAACTTACTACCATTCCAATTCCGCCTAGCTAGATTATCTTTTGTTAATACCACTCCTTTATTTAAATACCACATAAAGATCTTAATTTATTTATGTGGTCACTATATAACACGCCTATTTCACTGGGAGTCTTCCTGTTCAGATCGATGACTACTTTATGCCAGTCGACTACAACAACATTTTTTTGCCTGCATGATTAGTTCAGCTAGATAGCATTGCCTGAAAGAGATAATGCATGTTTATTCATAGGATCCAGAAGTTGTTTTCGTCATAAGAATATTAGCATCTCGACACATTAATATGATGTCACTTACATTAGGAGCTGTCTTTTGCATGTTCTGAAGGATAACCGGCTTCTTGCAAAAGTAGGACTGTGACTGCATTTTTTTAGCACGCTGAAATAGTTTCAACTATCATAGTTTTTCAGTTGGAGAAGAAGCTAAAATAGTTGACTCTCCACTGATTGACATTTAACAATTTATCTCTTATATAATAGTCAGGTCACAATGTAATACATATGAAACTATTGCAAAGATTATATAATGATAATCCTAGAAGTTTAAACTAGCTACTGAATTAAGAACCTGCAAGATTATTCTACTGGGAGGGTATTTTGCTCTCATGAAATTTTGGAAGTGTGGTTTGTTGGATACCATGCCATTTTGGAAGTGTGGTTTGTTTGGCACACAAATAGACATCTGTTATGTAATTACCAATCAAACTTGAGAAAAAAGTACCATGAATGTGTTGTTTGCAGATTGATGTACTATCACACCCGTAAAATTTTGAATAGCCATTCAGATTTTGTGAAGCAGTTATCATGCTCGGTTATTGTAATTCCTTTGATGTTCAGCTGTAGTCACAAAGGTATACATATTTTGTCATATGTAAGTTGCCACTCTTATTCATGTGAAATGTTAAAGAGATACTGCAAAGTTGGATTTTATCAAGTCTGAATTTGCGAAAGA